CGCCGGCCTTTCATTTTTAACATGGTACTTAATCACGAAGACACACTAGGCAACGTGTGAATGTCCTGTGGATTGCCTATCTCCCCTCACACTAGAATAAAAACTGCGAGGGCAGGGCTTGTTTTGCCTGTTTGCTTAACGGCTCTGCCCACAGGTGGCTGCCCGGAACAGACAAGGGGCTTAACAAGCATTTGTGGATGAATAAAAAGGGATGAAGGGTGGGAGGAGTGAGGCGGTCTCGGGCTTCTGTATTGGGATGTGAGGCCGTCCCTGAAAGGAAGAAGGCTTGGGGGCCCGGGGGAGACGCCCGCTCCGGCAAGCGTGCAGGGGGCTGGCTGGCACCAAGGTCTGCACGCAAAAATCAGCTCGCCAAACACAGGCATGTGAGTCTCCGGAGTCTGGCTAGTAATTAATGTTTTGCAACGGTTGAGATCGTCCTCAGGGTAAAATTCCCGCTCCTGTCCTCTCCTCGCTTCCCACCACCCCCCCCCGGCCTCAGTCAGCGCATCTATAAAATGGGGCCACTATGTGACGCGTTCGGTGCAGTGTCCAGCCCAGCACCGGGCACTTGGGAGACACCGAGGAAATGGGATGAGTCCTTCTTGTTACCGCCCCAGAAGAGAAAGGACTGTGGTGCAGGTGAGGTGGGTGGGAACCTCAGCCTCGCGAGGTCCCTATTCATTACTCCCCAGCCGGCGGCCATCTCCATGGCAACGCTGGCGCCTTTCCAGTGCGCATCTCCCGGGCTGAGCCTGTCTCTAAGCGTGTCTCGGAGTGGGCGGGTCTTGTCCATGGGGGCGGTGCCTTCTTCGAAGTGGGCGGGCCTTGTTTCTCGAAAGAAGATACTTTTCTTTCTTTTTTTAAACCAGAAAGCGTGTCTGGTTTTTGAGTGTCGGTTGCAGAGTGGAGAGGAGTATCTCTAAGGTTTAGCTGATTTTATTCCCAAAGGTTGAGCTTTTTCAAATAGGCAACTGTGGATCTCCATTCAAAAAGTCTGGCTGGAGTGCTAAACTATTACTTGTTTTCTCCTCCCAGAATACACGTCTTCCTCCTTTAAAGTTTCCTTTTTCTTTCTTTTTTAATTTATATTTAATTTTTAAATTTTCATTTATTTATGTATTCTTTTGAGATGGACGTCTCGCTCTGTCACCCAGGCTGGAGTGCAGTGGCGTGTTCTCGGGTCACTGCAACCTCTGCCTACTGGGTTCAAGCAATTCTCCTGCCTCAGCCTCCCGAGTAGCTGGGATTACAGGCGTGCACTACCATACCCAGCTAATTTTTGTGTTTTTAGTAGAGGCAGGATTCCACCCTGTTGCCCAGGGTGGTCCTGAACTCAGGTGATCCGCCCGCCTCGGCCTCCAAAAGTGCTGGGATTACAGGCGTGAGCCACCACGTTTGGTTTTATTTTTTTTTTTTGAGACGGGGTCTCTCTCTGTCGCCCATGCTGGAGTGCAGTGGTACCATCATAGCTCACTGCAACCTCGACCTCCTAAGCTCAAGTGATCCTCTCAGCTCAGCCTCCCAAGTAACTGGGACTACAGGCATGCACCACCATGCTGTTTTTTCTTTCTTTTCTTTTTTTTTTTTGGTAGAGACAGGATCTCACTATATTGCCTAGGCTGGTCTCGAACTCCTGAGCTCAAGTCATTCTCCTGCCTCAGTCTCCGAAATTATTGGGATTACAGACGTGAGTCAACTTGCCCAGACTGAAATATTTTCTTTGTGAAATATAAGACACACAGA